TCTTTCCCTTACCATTGGGTGAGTCTTGAACACTGCACCTTTTTCCCTGATCTTTGGGTGATTCCTGAAACCTGCATCAAATCCAGATATAGCAGGTTGTACCAGGGGTTCAGGGTTGGGGGACAATCCTCCCATCAGTCTCAAGAATGCAGTACTCTGCATATAGTATGCACTTACTCCTCAGCACAGTTCTAGTTGGTCTAGTTGGCAGTGATTCTCAACCAGACTGCCATGGTACCCTGGGGTGCCACAAGATCCTCTTAAGGGTGCTGTACAATATTAGCACAAATTGATGTACAAACACCTACACTTGATTCATAATATAAACCGAGTTTTCAAATAAGAACCCATAGTATCAAAAACATTCTGACCTGTTGTGATCTTCTGAGTTCTTTGCAACAGAAAACTTGCTTTAGTATTTTTCTCTAGTCAAAAAAGCAAGTGAAGCTAAGAACTGACATTTTCTGAGTTGCTTTGATTCTAAAAAAGGTTGAAAACCCCTGGTATATGATATATCCATGCTGCCACTTTGGGTGACTCCTAGGATTGGCATTAAGCTCATTCATGCCAACCAGCTACATTAAAAGCCCTTAGGCTTGCAGTCTAGCCCAAGCCCATGCCCAAGCCCAAGCCCAAGCCCAAGCCCAAGCCCAAAAGCACTTCTGACTACATGCCACCTTCTGGTTGAAATTCATAGGCACAGGAAGTCTGCTAGCACCAACTTCCAGTCTTCTGCACCCCACTCTCTGTCCTGGCTACCCATAATTAAAGCCACAGGGAAGGACAGACAAGTACTTTGCAAACTGATTCCTATAAGGGCTCCATTTGAGGAAAAGGGAATACAATGTGCAGTAACTGCTAGGAAAGGAGAGATAGATAGGTAATAGGTGGCTCATATAGTTTGGCCTAATTGAGAATGACCCTAAAGGTATGCCGGTATTAATGTTGGCATACCTATATTTACTGTTCCATCAGCCTCATGGAATCTTTTCCACTGTGTGCAGAAGCATGGACTCTCTGTGTAACAATCACCATCTTGATCATTATGAAGTATTAAGCCTATCTTCTAGCATTAAGGTCTCAGTTCAGTAAATCACTTAAATACATGTTTAATTTATATTGTGAAAGTTATAACATACATTGAACATTGGGGTTTGTACCTAAATTACCTGCACCCTGTCCTCCCAGTTAATCCTCAAGGCCCAAATGGAAATTTGCCCTAAAGTAGTAATACACATCTTCTTTCATATGAAAAGGCACTTGAACAAATGTTTTTTCCTATACCAGATTTAATTATTGTTGGAAGCCACTTCAGTGCTATAAATACACATGATTACAAAGAACTTGCATTCATGACACTGATGGCACATTAAAGGCAATTTTGACAAAATGGAAGGCAATGGGTTTTCCAGCAGCAACAACTTAGGTTATGATCCCTTAGCTTACAGGTGTGGAATTTAAGCATATGGAAATCAATGAGGCTACTCTGTTGTGTAAAGGTAGGCATGCACTTACATCTTTGAAAGATTTTGAACTTTTGTTTGAAGATGTGTATAAATGCTGCAACAATGATGTATTACAGTGAAAACAATACTAACAAGAATGGCTCACGTAATGTTTCTGTAATGGTTTCTATATCAAGGCTACTGAGTTGAAATAGTCCCTAGGGTTTTTTATGTTTACAGTTCTTTGACTTCAAGTCACATGGCGTTGATTATACATTTTTATAGGGACTCTGTTTTTTGCTTTTAGTATTGTGAGTTGTACTACAAGCCTGAAGTACTCTAATTACACATACTTTAAAATCACTTTGTAGTGCTTTTGGATGTTAAGTTCCTCCTCAAGTAATGCTTCTCAAAAAAGACCTAAACTCAGTTTAGCTGACATTCAAACCTAAAAGTCTGTTTTGAATGAAGTATTGATTAAAACTTAACCTAGTTTTTTAAAAAAAATTTACTTTGTCTTAAAATAATCATATGATTTAAGTTTTATTAATAATTCACTTTTTAATAAAAACACTGTGTTTATGAAAATTAAATAATGCAACAACTTAAATACTACTTTGTCTTAGGGAACACCCAGATTCAAGTAGCTGATTGCCAAATTTACCTAGGTCTATGTCTAAAAGAGAATTAAGTACTGTACTATTTAAGCTTAGATGGCAAAATATCACATTCCCTCCACTATTTAATGTTTCTCTGTTTTAGGTTCATACCTGCTATCTTTGCAAAGTGATTCTGTGAAAGTTTTTGGAAGCCAATATAGTCTCAAGGAGGCAGTTTCAAGTTCTGCCATAGAATTGACTTGAGCAATAGATTTATTTGATTTTAAAAAAATCTTTAAAGCTTATTAATATATTCTCTTGAAACTTTGTAACCATTTAGATTCTTGCCTGATTTAAAAAGTAAGTCTGGTGTGATTGTTTTACCTGGTTTAATTCATAAGTAACTCCTACGATTAAACAGTATCCAACTGGTATAAATTAAATCATAATAATTTTTCCATCTAGACAATATTTATCTTATATACTGTTTATTTCTTTAAAACATAATATTTAATTTTTGTAATGAGAAAAGACAAGCTGCATGCTACTGTATTTATTCAAATATAAGATGAGGTTTTCCCCTCAGTCAACATGGGAAAAAAACGCTCTTTGACTCACATTTGCATACAAGGAAAACTAATTAAATATACTGTTGGTCATTAAACTGTTGCCAAAAGCAGCATGTGCTCAGTAATGGAAGCCAACTATGAAGCTGATTTAATTAAATGCAGCTAGCACTGAGCATGACTATAAAACACATCACCTATATTGGGCAAGCATACTGATGGAAGCCTACCACAAGAAAAAATTAGCAGAACCCATCTGAATAAGATACAGGTTTCCCTTTTTTATGTGGGTTCTGTATGGGTGAATTTGATTTTACGTGATGACTCTTTTTATACCAAAAATTTGTTATATGCAAGGTAAATTCACTCTTATGTGATCAGTGTGGTGGAAGCCCGCAGTCAGCTGCTTTGTGTGGTGCATTGTGGGAGTGATGTGCACCAAAACATAGTCTCCTGTGTGGATCTGTGCTCTTCACTCAACGTCTGTGACATGTTTCTGTAGTTGTCGTCGCCATGATGATAGTGCCCTGTGCTTGTGTGTACTGTCTGCTGTTGGTGAGTATCAAAATTGTCTTGTAAAAGTGGTAGAAATGGATCTGGGGGTCAGCACAGTTGAGGTCTTGGAATGTATCACTATTTGTTACACTGTAAAGTGGGCTGCCTTTATGCAAATTCAAGTTATGCACTGTTTTCCAGGAACACATTTACAGCATAAAGCGAGGGAAACCTGTATATAGTAGTGTACATTGTACTCAGTCCCCCTCAGTGCTGACTCTTGCAACTCATGGTAAGCCATTTAATACATTTCAATTTTCTCTTCACTCCCATAGCTGAGCTGTGCTTCCCCTCCCCCTCCCCCATTTTGAATGATTTCTGTTTCTTCACCAGCCTTAAATGCCTGGCAGGCATCACGAAACAGGGCCCCAAACAGTTCAGCCAAACCCCCTCCTTTACCCACTCTATCAGCCTGTCACATATAATTAGTGTGGCCCCACCCTCCATGAGGTAGCGCCGGACCAGGTTCTCCTGTGCCTCATCTGCATATAAATTTTTGAAGCATCCCAAGACTCATGACAAGAACACCTGGTTTCAGTCATGAGTGGCGGGCTGTAACAGGGGGCCTTCCCAGGGCCTGCTCTGTGTTGGCCGTCCACCTATTTCTGGGCTAACCACCTGCCTCTCTCATCTGCCATGCCTTGATGATAAATGATGTTACTCAGGCGGGAGGCTGCCCATTCTGAACCCCAATGTTTAGGGGAATCTCCACAGCTCCATTCCACCCCTACAATGCGGCCCAAGCCCTGCAGATGGCATCTCAGGCAGATAACTCAGTCGTACCCTTCATCCCATTAACTGTGGTCCCTTCTCTGGGACCTTCGGCTCTCCCTTAGTCCCTGACCCCATCTCAGGCCAGTGGGGATCCCAAGCCTCTTTGCTCTGTGGGCATCCCTCACAGTGGGCCCCTGGCCCTTTTGACCCCTCTCTGGGTCCTGGCCCCCGCATGGACCAGTCAAGGTCCTTCGGGACAAGCCTAAGCAGCTTGCCTG